TTTGAAAAGTTTGGGTCCAATCGGAAACTTCATTCGAATGAATTTGAAAATGTTGACCTTTTTGGTGGGAGGTACAAAAAGAGTAAGCAAAAGGATAAGACTAACGGTACACATCTTCGGTCTTGATCCTGGTTTGGTATGATTTGATATTTCGCTCCTGTAGACAAAGAATTTTCAAAATGTTGACATTTTGTGAGAAAGGTACTTAAATATGTGGGACGAATAGTCCCACTTGCCATGTTTATTAAAAATATTTGGTTCAAATCGCGTTATATAATTATATTATCGAAATTAAGTATTGACCATATTGTGTGGAGGTACTAGAAGGATTGGACGGATATTCCCATTTTCGAATTTAGTAAGGGACGTAGTAAAGTCGGACTGGGCCGACTAAATGATACCCTTCATCACTTTGGGTGTATTTTATATATTTATCCTAACAGACGACGTGTTTTGATATAAATCTATATCTGAACCGATTTCAGGGAAACTTGCTAGAGACTAATTTATATAACATCAGTACGTTGTGTCAATCGGGCTAGCTATGGATCTTTTCACGAAGCTTAGCAACATTATTCTAGACTTGATTCAGTACTTTATACCAAAATTCGTGCACATCAAAAGATATATAGGGTCTTTGGTGCACCAATTACCTTAAATTGGATTAAAATACATATGGGAGCTATATCTAAATCTGAACCAATTTTCACGAAACTTGGCAGACATCATTCTCGATCTTATTCATAACTCTGTGCCAAATTTCGTGCACATCAATAGATTTCCAGGGACTTTAGTGGACTATCAATCCTCTCAAACTTCACAATAGATTGCTCTTCATTCGGAAAAAGGCATTTTGTGAAAGTTACCTATTTTTTCTTTAAGCAATTCAAAAATATAACATATTTCCCTTAAGGTTTGTAATTGTGGTTCTTTGTAATTGTGGTTATGTTAACTGTCTTTATCAAGGACGATCCACACACCTACGCACACATGAAACGAAATACCTTTACTGTGAACCGCTCTAAGCCATATGTGTACGTACTCGTATGTGCTGCAAATTATCAGTTAAAATAAATGGGACACCTTAATTTTAAGTACTTCACCACCTTTTTCTCCTCGCCTCGAGTTTCATCATTAAAATAGTATTCTGGTGTATTTTTTTCTCCAGTTTCTTCTCATTCAGATAGTTTGTTCCTTTTCCTTTCATTTAGTTTTCAAACAAAAAGTTTCTTAGTTCTGTTCCGTGGCATTGTTTAACCCCCCACCATTGCACGTTGACAAATTAATCTTTAGTTGTCGCAGAATTCTAACAAAAAAAGTTTTGTTGGTTTTTCTTTCTTTGAGTAGAAAAAAGTGAAGAAGTTATTCTTTGCCATTCAATTCATCGCTGTTGCTGTTGTGCAATAGGAAACAATTGTAGGGTCCTTTGTTCGGTCTTTTGTGGGAGCACACACACAAAAACATCAGCAGTAGAAGAAACATATGAGGAAGAATTTTCACTCTATGCTCAGAGAAGAATTGTTATTATTATTGGTACGCTGCAGTAATGGTGGCAGAACATTCTTCATTTATATTTGTATCTTGTTTTTTTGTCGGTGGTACTGCAGAAGTAAATAATAGGTATGTGCAGGTAGGGAACAATATTATTTGACTGAGTAATAAAAACCCGTAGGGATGATATCAAACAAATATCAGGTCGTGGAATATATTTTGAAGTACGAAATTGTTTATACCCTCAGCTACTTCTTTTTGTGAAATATTTTTTAATTTTTTTCAACACATTTACAGTTATTGGAATCTACTTCTAAGAATATTTATTAAACGACTTTCAGACCTATATTCTGAGGTTATTGAAAAATATTATTCCAAGTTTTTTTAGATCTATAGGCATTAATTTTAATACTCTCAGCCTTATCGGTAATGAGGATATTGATTTCAGACCTCTAATTTCCAATTGGACCAAATATATGTAGACCGGCCTAACGACAATTCGGATTATTTTTGCACGTCGAAATATCTTTTCCGAACATAAAAAATATTTGGAGAAAAGTAATACCAGTAGTAGCTCTCCACAAAATAGTCAACGTTTTGATGAGAATTAATTTTATAATATCACGCGAAAGGAGTACCCTATTTATATATATATATATATATATATATAGATATAAAATGATATATATATATATCTATATATATAAAAATGGAGCCAAAAAAATGTATACTAACGCATCAATTGAGAACGGCTGGACCGATTTGACTCAAAATTGTTTTCAGTTGTCGGTAATTACTGTGGGAAGGTTTTTATGAAAGAAAATGTTGAGAAAAATCCGCGAAAATCTTGCAAAAATTATTTTAAAGAAACGGCTGGACCGATTTGACTTAAAGTTTCTGTTAGTAGTCTGTAATTGAAGTGGAAAGATTTTAATGAAAGAACATTTTAAGAAAAATCCGCGAAAATGTTGCAAAATATATTTTGAAAGATATTAGCATTTCCACACATTTTATACCAAACATTTATGGTTTAATCTCTTCGTAGTTCTTTTTGGACATATTTTGGTCGAAAATGACAGAGTATATCTTTATGTAATTGTCAGTTATGGAAAATTCTCAAAAAATATTTTAATCTTCTACAATCAATTGGATTGTCTTTGACTTGAAAAAGTAACTGTTCGTTAGTCTCGCTAAAACTCGAGAACGGCTGAACAGATTTTCTTATCTTAGTCTTCAAATGTTCGTGGAGCTTCAGGGAAGGTTTAAAAGGTGAGAAAAAATCGAAAACCGCAAAAAATTTGCGAAAAAATATTATGAAGCATATTTACATTTCCACGAATTTAGTATCGAGCTATTATGATTGCACCACGTCGTAGTTGTTATTTTGAGATATTTGGGCAAAAATTGATAGCGTATCAATCCTTTAAGCCTTCATTTGTCAATTATTGAAAGTTTTGATTTTTTCCAATTTGATTAACATTGTATTGAAACGTTTTTTGTGAAAATTCAAAAAATAATTGAGAATATATCATTGAATGTACACGCGATCATTGTATGTGCACGTTGTCCATAGAATGCCCGTACATTTTGGGACAAATGCAAGGACGAAAATCAGAAGATATTCGCAATAGTTTTGATTCTAAGATCCATTCCCTAGATCATTTTTTCTTAAAATATGAATAGTAATAGTTCCATAAGGACACGTTGTTCTTTAAAGTACTTAAAATGTTGCTATGGCACGGGAAATATCAAATCAGGTGGTACCATTATATGGTGGTTATATGCCTAATCGTTGGTCAATGCCTTTGAACTCATAAACACAACACCTCGCATATATCCGATACCACAATATTTTGGGTACCGTTATATGGGAGCTACCTCAAAGAGTGGACCAATATAGATACTTTTAGTACGATTCATTCTACTAAATAAAACAACCAAATACCAAATTACTGCCGATTAGATTTAAAAATTATATGAGGGATATTTGGAAGCTTGGGCGAATAAAAAATTTCAGCCAAATACCGAATATTAAGGGATATATATGGGAGCTATCCAAATACTTGGGTCAATATTGATATTATTAATGTAATGGTAAATTTTCAATATCAACTATCATATAAGTAGAACGCCGAAAATTATACATCAACAATATTGCTAGGCAAGACAACGTTTGCCGGGCCCGCTAGTATATATATAATATTCGTCGGAGATTCCATGAAGTACAAATATTTTTGATCGGAGTAATATACTTTGTCGATATAGCCTTGTCCGTCTGTTGATATAACGAAAGGCACCTTTTGTAACTGAATTGGCTAAAATTTCTTATTTTGGGTTCTCATTAGGTGAAAAATATTCCAACCAAACATATCGATTTCGTTTTATATTAAGATATAACTACCATATAACGTCATATACCATTTTTTGTACCCTTTACCCCACTGTGGTACAGAGTATTATGTCTTTGTGCATATGTTTCCTAATATGCACATATATAGCTAATATATATATTTTCGTCCGATTTTATGTTAATTGTGTACCAAAGACCCTATATATCTTTCGATTTGCACGAAATTTGTCCAAGTTTATGTAGTCTACCTAGCCCCTATATTTCTCTAGATTTGCAAGAAATTTGGCATAGCTTACTGAATTGTGTCTATAATGATGTGTGCAAATTCGTGAAAATCGGTTCAGATTTATATAGAATTTCAATCGATGGTAACTTTTGCCACAAAAATATCAATATTTGCCGAATAATCCGATATGGATGTTTAAATGTATAGATATCCTATACTTACTACTTAAAACCTAAAGGGTTTATATTTGACAGACGACCAAATCAAAATCTATAATTAAATTATATATTATTGATAAGCCTAGGAATATAAAACCTTCTTGACTAATCAACAAATTAAAATTTAAAGACATTTTGTGAATTATCTAAACACAACCCAATAAACTGATCTAGACAATCATAATTTGACACTTGTTTGTCATTTTGCAGTCCATCAGCAATCTTTTAAAGAATATCAAATGTGTTGTGAAATGTTTACAAAATAATCTTCAAGGATATTCCACAAAGTCATCCTTTTTTATGTCACCATGGTATTGTCTCCAAAAATTAACTTCAATTAACCGCACAAAAACTGGACAAAAATAAACTTTCTCTCATAGAGAAAGAGAAAGTTTTCTTGAAATGTTAAACTTGTTGGGTAGAGATACTATCCATTCCTCTTCCCATTTAGGTATCTAGCCAACAAATATTAAGAAATTTTTGTAATTAATCATTAAGTAAATCGTCCTTGATTTAGGTCATTTATAAAAGTCAACTATGTTACAAATAACAATGACAACGCCGACAATTTTTTCGTTCGTTATTTTTTTCCAGTTTCATTTTTGGCTTTCAATTTCCTTTGGTGGAATAAAAATAACTACTAAAACAGTGAATTATGTCGTGTTGCGGGAAAGGGGGCGATTGAAAAACTTAATAACTTTCAAAAACAAAATACTTACAAATTTACTGCGATCTTCTTTGCGTTCAGCTTTCAAATGATACAAACTGTGATCATTGGTTAAAATATTTGCCTGTCGTTTGAGAGCATCTCCAAACAAATGTTGTCCTTTACTTAGAACATAAAAATATACACAGCCCAATGAAAAAATATCAACAGATGTGGTCTGAAAATAGAAACAAATCCAACATTAAATTAAAATTTAAAAGTCTCTTTGAAATAAATAATTGACATTACCGTTCTTTGTCCTCTCATCATTTCGGGAGCAATCCAACCATCTGTACCAGTAACCCCAGTGCGTCTCTTGAGAGTTTTACCATAATTAAGTTTCTTGCAAAGACCGAAATCGGATATCATAACGCGTACAGTTCCATTTACATCGGGCAGGGATAGCAAAACATTTTGAGGTTTAATATCACGATGGACTACAACAAAGAAATAATATATATAATTAGATGAACCAAATTTTTTCACTGATGGATCCATTGGAGTAGAACGATATTTACACATATTTGATCGAAAATAAATGTAGCAATCTACTTCAATGGTGATAGGAATTGTTAAATCTCAAATTCTTACCTATATTCAATGAATGCAAATGACTTAAACCGGCTGCCGCCTGTTTCAATACATCCCACACATGAATTTGCGAACGCAATTCA